TCTCTCTCTCTCTCTCCTCTCTCACTCTCTGTTTAAAAAAAAAAAGACTGAATCATAAAACAGAACTGCTGACCACTCACAGTGTGATCTTGACAACATATCCACTTCCCTAGGTTCAATCTCTCAATCTGTGCACCGAGGAGAAGGCTTCCAGAGCATTTCTTGCTAAATTCTGAGGCTCTAATAAGCAGTAATGGTCCTCTGAGAAAGCTGGAAGGGAACTTTCGATGTAAGGATAAGCTATTTGCCCTTAGCCCAAAAGACTATGTTATTTCTCAAGACAAACAGAGTAAGAAAGACTGTGACACTATGAGGTTTTCTTGCAAGGTGGAGATTTGTTTTATATTCCTATCTATACAATTTTGATGCTATTCCTCAAATTAAAAGAAATAAGATTGTCCTAGAACTCTTTTAAGAAGAGAAAAAGAAAAAAAAAACTGCTTCCCTTGTTTCTTTAGGCTAGATGAAACTGCAGAAACTCTGGTCCACTTTTAGCTGATTATCTCCCTAAATAAGGGTAATTTAGATAAGCTCTTGAAGGGCCTCTGGTTTAAAACCGTTCTAGGATATGCAGCAAGAAGGACTTTTCAATTAATGTGCACAGAAATGAATTCATCATGCCTAAAAATGATTTAAAAATTTTTTTTCAAGCTAGTCATGTTAGAGTTGATGTTTTGGAAATTAGCTGCTTTAGACATTTTGGTTCTCATAATTTTACATTTTCAATGGACAAAAGATCTCTGCTTTTTCAGATTTAAGTCACATTTGTGAAAATTCTCTGCTGGAAAAAAATGCAATTTTGAGAGTTCAGAGTTTCCTGAGGTTGAGGGAGAAAATCCAGAGTCCGTTTTCTAAATTGAGAGTGACTTTGGGGCTGGGCATGCGGCTTGGTGGTGGTGTGCTTGCAACAGACACACACACACAGTGGCTTTGATAAGCATAATGGGTTCTAGAAAGCTCAGGCTGAGTATTTGGGGAATCTTCTGATTCCAGTTTTGAGGTGGGCAAATTTTCCTTGGGTTGTTCTGCTGCCTGGGAAATTCCTGGGGTTGCTGTTTTCAACCCGCGCGCACCTGTCCATCCGTCCGTCTGTCTGTCTCTGTCTGTCTCTTTTCTCCTTCCAAGCTAATTCTAAGAAGAAAATAAAGAGTGGGAACTGAGAAAACAGAGACATTCTTCTAATAAGTCTTATATTTGTGCACTGAACAGTACTCAACCACCTTCTATGGCTCTCCATTTCCTGAAAAATGTAGTTCTTTCTCATGTACATTTCAAAATTCTTAATAAATATGTCCCTAACTTAAAGTTTTAGCTTGGCGTCCCCTTCCCTCATATAATCTCTTCTTTTATCAAGCAGAACAGTTAATGAGGAGGCTTTCTTACTTTAGAGTTTCCCCTACCTGGAAGAAGCTCCCTACCTCCTCGCATACTGAAATCATATCCATCTGTCAAGGTCATCAGCAGGAGTATCATTTTCTAACCAGTGTCACTTCCTGCTTCACACCATAGAGACTAAAGACCATAAGCTGTGGGAAGGGAAGATCCTGATCCAATTACTAAGTCTAGCCCTGCTATATCGTCACAGAACACCTTGCCCAGACTAGAAACTGAAAAATGGATGTTCCGTCCCACCGTTCTTGGTAGTTCGGAAAGTATTCGGAGGCAGGGCTGCCAGATTCGGCTAATCAAAATAAGGACGCTCAGTTATATTTGATTTTCAGATAAAAAAAATGAATATTTGCTTTAGTATGTCCCATAAAAATGTTCGAGACATACTAAAAAGTATTTGTTGTTTATCTGAAATTCAATTCTGGGAATCCTGTATTTTACGAACACCCCTCCTTGGGGGCAGGGATTCCCAGGGGCATCTAGCTTTATTCCCGCAGATGCTCAACATCTGGGTACTTCTTAAAGCGAAACCCGAACCTGCTGTTGTACAGTTGGCATTCGTAGCAGGGTGGAGCCCACGACCCGGAAAGACAGACCCCCCCCCCAGTTGGAGATCGTCGCCGGAGACTGAACAAAAAGTCGGCACTCACGAGGCAGCCTCACCCGGTGGGCTCTCGGGACCCCGAGACCGGCTCATTCAGCCCCTCGACACCCCCTGCCTTACCCTTCATCTTATGACCCGTCTTCGCCGGCAGGAGGTCGGCACCGCCCAGCTCTTCAATCGTTGGCTACCATTGGCGGGGCATTCCATCCATCATTCTATCCCCCGCCTAAAAGGCTGGCCGCTCCCTGCTACGTCTCTCCCGTAGTTCGCGGCGTAGCTGCCAATTGGTTGAGAAGGCGGCAGCCGTCCCGGCGCAACAAAGGGGCGGGTTCTCGGAATCGGAGCGATATCAAGCGCGTCACCCCCTCAAGCTGCGGTGGTCGCTCGAATCCCGCCCGCCCTCTCAGTGTCGCCCTGCGCTGCTGAAGCCGCCGCGGCACCATGGCTGTGCTCGCCGTGATCCTGTGCTTGTCGGTGGCGGGTGAGGAGTTGGGGCGGACGTGCGGGACGTGCTTCGGGAAGCCCTGCGCCGCGGGGCTCGAGGGTCCCGGGCGGCCGGGGGTGGGCGGCTGCCCGGCGGATGCCGCAGTGCGGGCAGCCAGGGCCGGCCTCACCTCAGCCGCCTCTCTCAGGGTTGTTCCCCGGGATCCGCTCGTATTGGTGCGGCCTTAGGGACCGACGGTCCTTGGCCAGGGCCGGGCTCCGTGGGGGGGTTCTCGGAGCCGGCCTCCACCCTCCGCCTTTTTGAGGAAGGCGCGTCCTCCCGCAGTGCCGCCAACCTCCAATCAGCCTGGCCTCCTCTTCCGGCTCGGGAGGCCCTTCGGAGGTCGGGCGCATTTCTCAATGGACTGGTGAACCACAGCCCGCTGCGAAGAAGGAAAGGCCGATTCCTTAGCTGCCATTGGCTGCTGCCTTTATTATTATTCTTTGCATTCGGTTAATGTCTTCAATGTAGTGGTTGTCATCAATAATGGTGACGGCTCTAACTCATGTGTGTTTCAGGATGTAAAAATTGGGGTGGTGTCATTATTTTATGTGGTTTGTATCTTCAGGTGAACACAAAGCACCTCTCCATAGTTTGTCACAGTTCCCAGTTTTAAGGATTTGGAAACTGGGATGTGAGTCACATCCTTAGGGTCACATGTCAAATCAATGGCAGCTTTCTGAGAGGAACCTGGGTTCCCTAGCATTGAGCAAGAGTGGAAGTCAGCGAACATTTGGCTTCTCAACTTGTATATCGTGTGGTAATTGCATTGCATTTGACAGCAATCCTCAGAAAAGGGTGTCGTCCTCGTTTTGCAGAGTGATCAAACCTAAATAGATTATTCAACACCATAGAGGCAGTAAGTAGTGAAGTTGGACTTGAACCCAGACCAGCTGGCTCCAAAGCACGGGCCTTTTCCATAATGTGTTGTGGCAAAAGCAATGCTGCATGTGAGAATGTGGGTGTGATGGGTGCCGAGCCAGGGAATGCACACTGTGGGCAACAAGAGCCCAAGTTGAGAACAACTTGGAGGAATTGGTGCCCTGGTCTCCCGTGTGTCACTTTAAAACCAGTGGGAGGTCTGTGCCTATGCTGTGGGAGGTCCTGCGTCAGGAATGACAATTTAATTCTGTGGGAGGTATAGACCAGTGATGTTCTTGAAATCGGTAGCTCTCTTCCATCTCTGGAGGTGTGTTGATAATAGTTATATTTATTTTCTTTCTTTTTTTGTGTGTGAAACCAGGGATTGAACCCAGGAACACTCTACCACTGAGCTATACTCCCAACGCAGCCCTTTTTATTTTTTATTTCCGGACAGTCTTGCTAAATGGCTGAGTCTAACCTAGAACTTGCAATCCTCCTGCCTCAGCCTCCTGAGTCACTGGGACTACAGAGGTGTGCCACTACACCCAGCTTTTTGTTTCTTTTCGTTAGCTGACTTTGAAAAGGTCATTCTGATCTGTCCATTAAGATACTTTTCATTGGGCATGGTGGCTCAGGCCTCTAATCCCAGCCACTCTGGAGGCTGAGGGGGAGGATTGCCAGGAGGCCTGTCTTAATGACTAACCAGCCGTGTCTCGAAATAAGAAATGCACAAACAGGACTGGGGATATAGCTCAGAGGTAGAGTGCCTCCAGGTTCAATTGCCAGTACCACACACACAAGAAAAGAAGATACTTTAGGTCAATTTTTTATTTTAATTGAGTTTTTGAAATTAAGAAAATCTTCCCTTTAATACTGTGCTTTAAACAAAACATCTGTTGAGATTCTCTGCTTTAATGACGTTGTTTTGATTCAGTGAGGTTTAGGTTTTCTGGTTTGGTTTTGAGTCTGAGATCAAATAATTGTTTCTGTACATGGTTTGAACATGCTTTCCTTACTAGAATGATCTAGTTTCTACAAACCAAGAACTTCTGCATTGCTGGGTCTTGTCAGATGAGGTTAAATTATTATTTTCCACAATGACTAAGTGTAATTTAATGGAAAACATCTTCAAGAGCTCCAACTTCTCTATTTGAGAAGAAAATCAAAATCTTTTGAAACATGGTTACAGAAGTGGAGAGAGAACTAAGGAACTAGAGTTATAAATATCATGTCCTGAGGAGTATTTGAAAAAAATTCAGATATTTAACCTTGAGAGGAAAGGCAAAGAGTGAAGCACACGGAATTTAAGGGATGTTATGTAGAAGATGGAGTTGATTTGGTCACTGATACCCAGGAGGACAAAACTAGAACCCCCCCCTCCTTTTTTTTCATATTGATGGATTCCATCCATTCATAGATCATAACATAGTATGATGGAGTTCTTAGAAGGACACGGAGCCTCTCACCCAGACTGGGGAGGTACCTCACAGGGCAAATACGGGAAAGGTTGGGGTGAAAAGAAAGGACATTTTAAGGGCTAGGGATATAACTCAGTGGGAGAGCACTTGTGTAGCATGCGTAAAACCCCAGGTTCCATTCCCAGCAAGAAAAGAAAATACACAGAAAGAAAAGAAAAGGCATTTTAGACAGAAGCATAGACATGTAAAAGGAAAAGAGCAAATAGTTTGCTGAGGCAAGAATGTATAGGGGCTAAGTTGGAGAGATCCCAGAAGTAAGGTTGGTAAGGCCTCTGGGCTATTATGTTTTGGATTTGCGTCAGAGGCTCTGGACATTTAAGCAGAGAGGTAGACAAACACATTTGTATTTTGTAAAAGTGATGAGAAAACTGGATCAGAGAGTGACACCAGAGGGTCATAGAGGCAGCCAGATCTAGCAAACCTGGTGAGGGACACTGAGGGAAAAGGATTCAGGAGATGATAAGAAAAAGCACTCAGTAGAATTCTGTGGTTCAATTAGTCGTGGTGCTGCAAAAGTATTTAAAAATTCCAGCGGTGGTGGCACGTGCCTGTAATCCCTGTGGCTCAGGAGGCTGAGACAGGAGGATCACAAGTTTGAGGCCAGCCTCAGAAACTTAGGGAGACCCTAAGCAACTTACTGAAAACATAAAAAGGGCTGGGGATGTGGCTCAGTGGTTAAACACCCTTGGGTTCAATCCAAATACAAAATTGTTTTTTAGGTTTAAATATATATATATATTTTGGGGCTGGGGGTGTGGCTCAAGCGGTAGCACGCTTGCCTGGCATGCGCGCGGCACTGGGTTGGATCCTCAGCACCACATACAAATAAAGATGTTGTGTCTGCCGAAAACTAAACAATAAATATTTAAAAAAAAAAAATATATATATATATATATATATATATTTAAAGGCAACTGATTCAAGCAACTGGGCAGAAGGTGGCAACCTTTTTGGAGCCAAAGAATGCAGGAGAAGCATGTGGAAAGATGGTAGATCCAGTTTTAAACCTGTTGAGTCTGAAGGGCAGGTGGGACTTAGAAGGAAATGTCAACAGACTGTTGAGTACATCGGTCTCAGACCTAAGAGAGATCTAGGCTGGAAATAAAAATCTGGGAGGCATCAGTGCATTTCTGTGTTCACAACCTAGGAGTGGATGGGCTCAGCCAGGGAGAGCTCTGTAAAATAGGAAAGTAGGGGGTCAAGAATGGAGCTCTCAGATCTCTGAAGTGGAATATAGTAGGTGATCCATTTAGATGTTAGGAGAATGTACTAGAACTTAAAAAAAAAGTCATCTTTTTGTAAACAGTAATGGTCATTTGTTAATGTCCCTCAGATTGTCTGATGTTTTCTCATGATTAGATTGGGAAGAATACTATACAGGTATCAATCTTATTAGAAAATTTCATTTCTGTGTGCTTTGTAATGTAGTACAAATATATAGCCTATTGTTGTTAGTATTAATATCATTGTTATTATTACAGTTCTGGGGATTAAACCCAATGGCTTCAAGCATCCTAGGCAAGTGCTCTACCTCTGAGCTACATCCCTAGCCCTGTAGCCTATTATTTTAGTACAAGTGTGCAGCATATGCTTGCACCCACGTGTACACACATATACACATATGTACGGGCTTCCTTCCATCTTTGTGCTGAAAGGGTTGAAATCTAAAAAGTTGGGCCATCACTGCTTCAAAGGATGAGAAGAGAAACAGGAAAGCAACCAGAGGGATTGAAGGAAAACCAGGGACCCTAGCTTCGTGAAGTTCAAGGAAGGAGATTTTCTGGGAGGGTGTTCCCATTTCAGATGCTTTGGGAAGTTCAGTAAATTAAGGGCTGAAAATTGTCTTTTGGACTTGGCGGGCTGTGTGAGTGGCGGAGGGATCAGGAACTCTGGGCTTGGTAGCTGGGTAGCGTCCAGGAGGTGAAGTAGAGAAGCAGGTTATGGTTGACTCCAGTTCTAGGATTCTTCCTTTGAAGGGAAGCAGAGGCTGGTAGCTGGTTTTGGAGTTGTTGTTTGTCATTTTAATTTTAGAATGGGCACACCCTCAGCATGTTTTTGAGGTGTGACTTCATTCACTCATTAACTGAGCAAGTATTTATTGAGTACCAATTTGTCAAGCACCGTTCTTACCCTGGGGATACTGAGTGAACAAGATACAAATCCCTCCTTCATGGAGCTGATTTTCTTCAGGGACATCTTTCTATGCCTACCACCATATTGTTGCCTATCTTCTGATATGTTGTCTGTCTCAGAATAGTGGCTTAATAACATTTGAATGAATCGTTTTGTAGGTGAATGAGTGAAAGTCCCTAAGAAGGCTGAACACAAGCCTAAGTTAGAGTGGAGGGGACCATCCCTGCCTTCATGTCTGGAGGGAGAGGACATACAGGGAGGGGCTTGTGCAAAGAAATTGGTGATGAGGAGAGGAATTCCTCTTCTTTCTGGGGACAAGGTAATCGGGTGAGACTGAGTAATAACCCAAGAAGCTGAACATCAGGGAGCCCATTTCAGTTCAGTACAAGGAGGAACTTTTCAAAGGACTAGAATGTTGGGACAGTGGAGCTGACTTCAGATAAATACAGCGTTTGTAAATTGAGGTGGGGTTCCTCATCACTGGTGATGTTCAAGTCAAGAGTATGGGTGGCTTGCAGCCAGACATCCCAGAGCTGTGATACCTGCAGTGAGCAGAAGTTTGGACAAGGTGACCTTTCTCTGTAGGAGCCTATTTCTAAGGTTTCCTAAAGCGGTAGCCTCCTGAAGGAGTTTGTTGTATGTCCATGGAGGTTAATCTAACTACAAAGGTGACACAAAGTTAAATAGTATGGCTTTTGCAGGGTTGAGTGAGTAGGGCCACATCTCAAAACAAAGGTACTCCAGGTGAAAATATGGTTCCTTAAAAGCGAATGGTTGGGGCTGGGGATGTGGCTCAAGCGGTAGCGCGCTCGCCTGGCATGCGTGCGGCCCGGGTTCGATCCTCAGCACCACATACAAACGAAGATGTTGTGTCCGCCAAGAACTAAAAAATAAATATTAAAATTCTTTCTCTCTCCCTCACTCTCTCTTTAAAAAAAAAAAAAAAAAAAAAGCGAATGGTACTTGGAAAGCCTAGGTCTTGTGCTGCCCTATTTCCCTTAGAGTTTAGCGAACCAAGATGTCTGTGGGTTACAAGTGACCCTTCCAGTCTGCTAGTTTTTGAACTGCCTCTGGCTAGAACGATTTGGAAATCCCTGTCCTGGCTGCTGTGCCTAATTGAAACCTAAGTCTTTGTGTTGTATCAGCACCATCTCGAGGCCTTTTATTTACCGTCAATACTGCAACACCAAGACATTTACTGGCGCTTCCAAACTTTATTCCTATTCCCTGTAAATGGTACTTCTCTAAGTCAAGAGAACAACAGCCCTGCTTTATTAGTCTCATCTTCCTATACGAGCCAAGATTTGTTTTGGACTTGCAGCTGATTTTTTCATAAGAACTTAAAACTTTCCACTAGTTCCTTGCCTTGTATAAACTAGACACCACTGGGTTAATATGTAACTGGGGGAAGAAGCCAAAAACCTGGGGCTGGGGCTGGGGCTCAGCGGTAGAGCGCTCGCCTAGCACGTGCGAGGCCCTGGGTTTGATCCTCAGCACCACATAAAAATAAATAAAATAAATAAAGGTTAAAAAAAAAGAAGATAAAAACCTTAGCCTTAGCCTTGGAGGGCTTATAAAAATGGTCCCTTTATTCAATTAGCCTTTATCTTTAAATCCAGACACCGTACCCTTGGAGTAGTTGACTTAATCATTACAGAATACCTGTTCACACTCTCCAGATAGGTTGACTGAAAATACCGCATGGACTTTGTTTCTGAAGTCTGAATTGTTTTATTTTGTGACTGGTCACAGGCACCCTCCACTTGACAGTTCTCATTTCACTAGGTTTGCATGTAGGACATTGATCTATCCTGAGATAAGAACATACTAAAGTCTTATAATGAGATACTAGAAACTTTATGAATTCACACTTGGTAGAGAGGGCCGAGGGTAGAAATAATTTAGAGATTTCAAGTTTTCTTTCTTTTTAGCCTGTGTCAGGGTTTTACTTTTTGTTGTTGTTTTTAAATTCTGGAGAAATGCCACTGACTGCTAATTTTTGCCAGATGGTCACATGTGCCTTTTAGGTGTTGTCTGTAGGAAGGCGTCTACATCATTAGGAAAATCCTGTTTCGTGGTCGTACTTTTGTTCGAGCAGAATATATGAACTTGGGCTGGGACTATAGCTCAGTTGATAGAGTGCTTGCCTTGCATGCACAGGCCCTGGGTTCAATCCTCAGCACCATAAAAAAAAAAAACAAAAACAAAAACAAAAAATGAATATATGAACTTAAATTCTTCTTCTTTTTTTTTTTTTTTTTTTTTTTTTTTGTGGTACTGGAGCTGGAACCCAGAGCCCTGCGCATCCTAGGCAAACACTCTACCACTGAGCTACATTCCTAGCCATCCCTCCCCTCTTTTCTGTTTTGAGTCAGGATCTCACTAAATTACCCAGGCTGGCCTTGAACTTGCAATCCTCCTGCCCTGATCTCCCGAGTTGCTGAGATTTACAGGCATATGCATCTAGCTGAGCTTAAACTTTGAAAAATAATTTGTTGACATTGAGGATTCAGCATTTCGTCAATTGTAATTTAGTATGCCAAGTCGGTGGATGGTGGGGAAACATGTATTATATTTAACAGTTTTCAAGGTGGGTACAAAAGAGTTGTGCTGATAATTCATTGAATCTGTTTTCTTTTCAGGGGTTTTGGGGAATGAGTTCAGTATATTAAGATCACCAGGGTCTGTTGTTTTCCGAAATGGAAATTGGCCTATACCAGGAGAAAGAATCCCAGATGTGGCTGCATTATCCATGGGCTTCTCTGTGAAAGAAGTATGTATATATTTTTAAATACTTGCAATTCTTTCTAAAAACACATTTGCTGATTTCTTCTAAGAGACCAAGGAAGTAACAAACATATGTAGGTATATTCACTGCAGATTACTAAAGTTTTTGAAAGCTCATTTCTGGTTGGGGAGATTTTTGATAAGTGCTTTAAGCTTAGTTTCTGAAACCAAATTGTTATAAATTATTTACCATGTAATTATTTAGTCATCGTTTAAAAATTCTTTGTAGGGGCTGGGGATGTGGCTCAAGCGGTAGCGCGCTCGCCTGGCATGTGTGCGGCCCGGGTTCGATCCTCAGCACCACATACCAACAAAGATGTTGTGTCCGCCGAGAACTAAAAAATAAATATAAAAAAATTAAAAAATAAAAATTCTTTGTATACCAGATAATGCATTTGTCCTTTTTTTTTTTAGCTTTTAAATATTTTTTAAATATATATTTTTTGGGGGTGGGGAGGGTACCAGGGATTGAACTCAGGGGTGCTCAACCACTGAGCCACATCCCCAGCCCTTTTTTATATTTTATTTAGAGACAGAGTCTCACTTGAGTTGCTTTGGGCCTGGCTTTTTCTGAGGCTGGCTTTGAACTTGAGATCCTTCTGCCTCCAGCCTCAGGAGCTGCTGGGATTACAGGCGTGCGCCAGTGTACCTGGCTAAATATGTCTTTATTTTTAATTGACACATAGTAAATAAACAGAGGTATTCTACTATTAATAGGATATATCTTTTCTTTTAGTGCAGGTGATAGATTTGCTATGAATGATAATATTAGATACATATCTTGTCTGAGACTGGGAAAATAACGTGGTAATCATGTAGTCCTTGGGCAGCCTAGGACCTTGGTTTCTTAGTCTGAAACTATTATGTGTTGTAGTCACTGGCTGCTTACATGATTGTAGCAGAGGGCGTCTATATCCAGCCAATCCCAGAAATCTGAAGCTCAGGGCTTAGAAGGAAAGAGATGCATTTTGCTTTCTTATTGTCTCCTCCCCCATTATGCATGTGGTGAATTTGATGTGGTCCCTAGATATCTTTAGTCACCAAAAGGAACTTTCCTTCTAGATCTTTAGTGTGCTTGCAAGAAGCTGCTCATGGGAACTGTTGAGCTGCCGGGCCGAAGGGTGGAACCCCTGAGCTCTGTCGTCTCTGGGTAACCAGGGTGAACACATTTGTATGTTTAAGGATGAAAGTTGTACCTAAATTCTTTACAACCTTAATGTATTGGGTTTTGTTTTGTTTTGTTTTGTTTTTTTGTGCTGAGGATGGAACCTAGGGTCTCACACATGCTTAGTAAGTGCTCTACCACTGAGCTATACTCCAAACCCTACAACCTTAAATTTGACTCCAAGTGGCTATTAAAATTACCTTTAGAAATAATTGTTAGTAAACTGGCCAGGCATAGTGGATGGTGCACACCTGTAATCCCAGCAACTTGGGAGGCTGAGGCTGGGAGGATCCCAAGTTCAAAGCCAGCCTCAGCAATTTATCGAGACAGCAACTCAGTGAGACCCTGTCTCTAAATAAAATACAAAAAAAGGCAGGGGATGTGGCTCAGTGGTTGAATTCCCCTGAGTTCAATTCCTGGTATTAAAAAAAGAAAATTGTTAGTAAACTGACATGAGTTACTTTCAGAAGGAATTTTGTTTGTATTTAGTCTAAAGAGAATTTTGTAATGACAGTCTTGCTATGTCACTGAGAGAGAGAAAAGTGATTCCATATGTAAGGGTACAAAATGATGTAGAGGAAGAAATTGTCCGTGGTTATAGGAAGAGGAGAATGTTTTGCAATGTGGAATTTAAAAAGTCCTTGTGTTGTGTTTACTTGCCTGCTTTTTTTTTCCCACAGCAAGTTTGAGCTGATTTCTTAGTAGAGTTTGTTTCAAATCCAGAATCTTAAGAAAATGAAGAAGGTAGAAATCAGCATCCTTGATTAGGAGATTGCAGCTACTATTTATTTTATAAAATGATTATTGTTCCCGTGAATTTTCTTGGCCAGGGTCATCAGAACCCCTAAACTCTGTTTAGTTGATATTATGGGGCGATGGTTTTCTGAGTTGATAATTAAGCACCATTTTATGCCTTTCGACATTTAGGATCTTTCTTGGCCAGGACTTGCTGTGGGGAACCTGTTTCATCGGCCCAGGGCTACCATTATGGTGATGGTGAAGGGAGTAGACAAGCTGGCTCTCCCTCCAGGAAGTGTCATCTCATACCCTTTGGAGAATGTGAGTATATCTCGCACTAAAAGTTTTTGTGGGGAGGGGCCAGTGCTAGGAATGGAACCCAGGACCTCTAGCATGCTAGACAAGTGCTCTGTCCCTGAGCTACAGCCCCAGCCCAGAGGAATACACTTTTTAATTTTCTCTTGCTAGCGAACATTATGAATTAAATTCTAAACACTTTTTTTTTTCATTTTTGGATACACAATTTCTTTAAAACGCACTCTCTTTTGAAATTCTTTGGAGAACACAGTTTCATTAAAAAGATAATGGTAGTTATCAAGTTATGGAAACCTGGCCATTCTCCATGGGTGAGAATTCTTTCTAAGATAAGAGATAGACAAGTTGCCCTGCTCAGAATGGTCAGAGGCTTGAGAAAGAGTGCCACTAAAAGAGAGCCACTTGAGGGTGTGTCCTTCTGACATTTTCTTGGACATTGTCCTGTCACCTTCCCTTCAGAACTTTTCCTCTGAGACAAAAGGCTGTTTGCTGCCTCGCTTATTCCTTCACTGGCCTTTCAGGCAACGTTGGCGATGAGCTGATGGGAGAGGCCCTCCGTCTACTGCAAGCACATGGACATGCTGGATAAAAAGTCACAAAACAGGGCTGGGGTTGTGGCTCAGCGGTAGAGCGCTCGCCTAGCATGTGAGAGGCCCTGGGTTCGATTCTCAGCACCACATAAAAATAAATGAATAAAATGAAGGTATTAGTGCCGGGGATGTGGCTCAAGTGGTAGCACGCTCGCCTGGCACGCGCGGGGCGTTGGGTTCGATCCTCAGCACCACATACAAATAAAATAAAGATGTTGTGTCCGCTGAAAACTAAAATATATATATTTATATATTCTCTCTCTTTCTCTCTCTTTAAAAAAAAAATGAAGGTATTGTGTCCAACTACAACTCAAAAATAAATATTTAAAAAAAAGTCACAAAACATCTTCATGAGCACAACTACCCTGAAAACACAGGTGCCAGATAGGAATAGAAAACTCAGAGGCCACCGTGGTAAGCAGGAGCTGACCCTGAAAGGGTGTTTCCTGCCGAAGGTGGGGAGCTGTAAAATGCTGTCTGTCCACTTGCTCTTGAGAAAGGGACTAATGAAACCCCAGCTGCCTGGGGCTGCTGCAGAGGAGCTGGCTTACCGCCCTGGGCCTTGGGCCCCAGATTCCCCCAGAGAAATCTGAATTACAGGGGTAGGGAGGTTCCTTCCGAATTCACCACTCACCCTGTAGGGACACCTCCTTTGGCTGTTATAAAAAATTGAAGGTGTGCACCCAGGGTGTAGCTCAGTAGTAGAGCACTTACTTAGCGTGTGTGAGGCCTTGGCTTATTTCCCCAGCACGGGGACAATAAATAATGGAAGGAAAGTCAGAAAGTACTTGAAGGAAAAAACAAAATGCCACGAGAAAGGTGTCAGCCACAGTAACACCTCATCTTCCTAGATCAGCCGAAAAGCCATTTTAGAATGTGTATTCAAATTGTGCAATAGAAACTGTAAGACACACGAGGCAGTTGTAAGACATTTTTTTTTTTTTTTTTTTTAAGAATGAAATGGGATCGTACCATTTTTGTAACACCAAGCACTAGATGATGGAGATCTTTTTTTTTTTTTTTTTTTTAAAGAGAGAGTGAGAGAGGAGAGAAAGAGATAGAGAGAGATAATTTTTAATATTTATTTTTTAGTTCTCGGCGGACACAACATCTTTGTTGGTATGTGGTGCTGAGGATCGAACCCGGGCCGCACGCATGCCAGGCGAGCGAGCTACCGCTTGAGCCACATCCCCAGCCCTGTAAGACATTTTTGATCGGTGATATGTTTGTTGATATTCTAAATATTTCAGAATTTAGATTGTGATGAGTTATTTAGAAATTGTTTTCATTTCCAAATGTATGGGTTCTTTTTTTAAAAATATTTCTTAGTTGTAGATAGTTGTAGATTCATTTTTATGTGGTGCTGAGGATCGAACCCAGTGCCTCCTGTGTGCAAGGCAAGCACTCTACCACTGAGCTATAGCCTCAGCCCTGGGTTCTTTTTTTAATAATTTCTAATTTAAAATTTTTCATGTTACTGTAAGACTGTGGTCTGTGCGATGCTGATTTTCTGGGCATTTGTTTTTCAGACTTTCTTATGGCCGATTTCCAAGCACACATGGCATGCTTACAAAACAAGCATGTACTAGACCACAAGGCAAATCGGAACAAATGATAAAGAATCAGGATCATATTAACCACCCTCTCTGAACACAGTGCATTTAAATCTGAAAATAATAACAAAATGATACCTTAAAAAAGTATCTGAGCTGGGCATGGTGGCGCATGCCTATAATCCCAGCGGCTCAGGAAGCTGAGGCAGGAGGATCACGAGTTCAAAGCCAGCCTCAGTAAAAGTAAGGCACTAAGCAACTCAGTGAGACCCTGTCTCTAAATAAAATACCAAATAGGGCTGGGGTTGTGGCTCAGTGGTCAAGTGCCCCTGAGTTCAATCCTCAGTGCCAAAACAAAACAAAACCAAAAAACATATCTGGATCAACATACCCCTGTTCCATCCACCAGCCCTCCTACCCAGCCTGTGGTAACTATCTTTCTCTTTCTACTTCTATGAGTTCAACTTTTTTGTAGATTTCATATGTGAGATTATGCAGTATGTTTTCTAATGTGCCAGGCTTATTTCATTTAACATAATGTCCTCAAAGTTCCCCTGTGTTGTCACAAATAACAGGATGTCTGCCTCCCTTTAAAGTTGAATAGTAATTCACTGTATATATATATATAAACCACAATTTTTTTTCCAGTGCTGGGGATTGAACCCAGGGCCTCTTGCATACTAGGCAAGTGCTCTACAATTGAGCTACGTCCCAGCCCTACCACATTTCTTTATCCATTTTCTGCTTATGGGTAGGTACCTAGGCTGCTTTCATATCAAAGCTATAGTGACTAATACTGCAGTCAACATGGAGTGTGGAAATCTCTTTGGCAAGCTGATTCCGACTCCTTGGGACATATGCCAGAAGTAGAATTGCTGGCTCATGCTTCAGGGGTCTAATGCACAAAATAGTGACTATCATAAATAATAATGCATTGTGGGTTTTTGCGGAGGGGGTCATGGTACTAGGGAATGAACCCAGAGATATTCTACCACTGAGCTATATCCCGAGTCCCTTCTTTTGTATTTTGAGAGAGGATCTCACTGAGATGCCAGGCTGGCCTTAAACTTACAATCTTCCTGCCTCAGTCTTCCAAGCAACTGAGGTTACAGGCAGTTGAATGAATTACATTTTCAAATTGCTAAAAAAGTAGGTCTTAGGGTTGGGCTTGTGGCTTAGTGATAGAGTGCTTGCCTAGCATGTGTGAGGCATTGGGTTCAAATCTCAGCACCACATAGAAATAATAAATGAATAAAATAAAGGTCCATCAACTAATAAAAAAAAGAGTAGGTCTTAAATGTTTTCACCACACACACACACACACACACACACACACACACACACACACAAGTATATGATGAGGTTGTTAATTAGCCTAATATTTAACCATCCCACCTTGTAAACATGTTTCAAAACATCACATTCTACCCCATAACTGTATACAATTATTATTTGTCAATTAAGAATAAAATAAGTATTTGGAAATGATAAAAACAAACAAAAAATGTGACACTGCAGATTTAAAGCATACCGAATATCCAGGAGGCCAAGTCCAAAATAACACCTAGGTGTAGTGAAATTGAAGAATCATCAAGGAAATGGGAAATCTTAAAAGCTCTCAGAGAGAAAAGACATTGTCATTACCAAGGAATGAGAGTAGAATGAGAGCGGATTTCCCCTCATTGCCATTGTGGGTTGGAAAAGTGGCGATTTCCTAGTGTGAGGCTGGGTGAGAATATTACATAGATAGTCATAAGAATGAAACGACACCGATCCAGGGGCAATTCTGCTGCGACTGTTGAAAGATGGAAAGAGGATGAGTTTATGGTTAGTGATGCGGGAGAGCTAAGTCCTTGTTTTCTAGAATAGACAGAAAATAGATAATGCCTACACTTGAAAATCAAAATGTAGTCACATAAGCATCTTATTTAAAGAAGGTGGGAAAAACAAAAGGATTTGAGAGTGCCTCAGAGGAATGGGAAAGGAGGGGCGAGGCAAACATTTTTCATACAATGTCTTATAGAACTATTTGTCTCTTTCAACTCTGTGTATATGTAATTCTTGAAAATTCATTTATTTTAAAAAGACAACAAGAAAGACAGTTGGAATAGATGTACTCCTGAATAATTCATGGGTTAAAGAGGAAATCGCTGTAGAAATTTCCAAATTATTTAGAACTGAATAATAATGAACCTTATATTTAAAGCTGAAGTGGTAAGAAAAGGGATTTGTTTTGTTTGGTACTGGGGATTGAACCAAGGGGTACTTTACCACTGAGCCACATCCCCAGCCCTTCTTAAATTTTTTGTTTTGAGACAGGGTCTTGCTAAGTTGCTGGAT